ATTTATGTGGGTTTTGATTGACCATCTATCATTAGATATTTGGAACCCTTGATAGGTGAGAAAAGACCATTCCAGAATAACAGCAATAGCTGATATGGGTTGTACCCACTTTATCTTATTTTGATCCACGAAGCATTCAATGTGAAAATGAAGTGAAAATGATCGTTCCTCTTCAAAGTACTGCTAATCAAATGCCAGATGCATTTAAGGATGCTACGAAAGTGACAAAATCACATATACTAGCTACAAATGCGCTTGCAAGAATTGATGTCCCTGTTGGACAAAATAAAGTGGCAGTGAATGATTTATACGGTGCATGCCCAAGTTCAAAAAATTTAGCCCCTCGAAAAAGAAAGATGAGAGAACAACTGAATCCAAAAAAAATCATTCAGGAAAAGAAAATGAATGCCAAATCCACAATTCATGATTCTGTACTTTTAAAAAAAAGAAAACGTCCTTGATGAGACACATATCCCTAAAGAGACAGAAGTACATGAAAGCAAAGAAATCTCCATACATTATGCATGTACTAACGAATTATGGGATCAAAATGAAATAATCATCAACGACATGTTTGCAATCACAGTAGCCACTAAAATCATATTAAGCATGATATCAAGCCCCGCTATGTTGATGAATGCAAACAGAGACAAGGTTGGCTTAAGTGGAAAGATGTAATCCAGGCAGAATTAAATTCCTTGGAAAGACGAAGTGTTTTTGGACCTATAGTCCAAACCCCGCCTGGTGTAAACCCCATGGGTTACAAATGGGTATTCACAAGAAAATGCATGAGAAAAACAAGATTGCAAGATATAAAGCATGACTCGTTGCACAAGGTTTTTCACAAAGACTTGGGAATTGATTATGAGGAGACATACTCTCCTGTAAGGGATGCAATTACGTTTCGTTACTTAATAAGTTTGGTGGTTTCATAAAAACTTGACATGTTCAGTCAACTTGTTAGCAAGATATAGCTTTGCTCTAACAATTCGTCATTGGAAGGAAGTCAAAGATTTTTACGATACCTTCGTGGGACAATAAACATGGGTTTCTTCTACAAAGAGAATACAACAAATGACCAGATTCTTGTTGGATATGCATATGTTGGTTTTCTCTCTGATCTGCATAAAGTCTGCTCACAAACTAGATATGTGTTCATTAATAGAGATACAACAATCTCATGGCGCTCAACAAAGCAAACATTAGTAGCTACATCTTTCAATTACTCGAAAATACTTGCTTTACATGAAGCAAGTTGTGAATGTTCTTGGTGAAGATCAATGATCCATCATACCCGGAATTCATGTGGTCTACCTTCAAAGACAGACACTTAAACTGTCATTTATGAAGGTAATGCATCATATGTTGCCTAAATGAATGAAGGATTCATCAAGGGCGATAAGACTAAACACATATCTCCAAAGTTTTTCATTGCACATGAGCTTCATAAGGCTAAAGTTATTGAAGTCAGACAAATTTGTTCCAATGAAAATCTGCCAGACATGTTCACCAAATCTCTACCAAAGTGCATGATTCAGAAGTTAGTGCAGGTATCGGATTACATTGGCTTACCAATCAGTCAAATTTGAAGAATGTGGAATCAGGGGGAGATACACATCAGGGGGAGCATCCAAGATACATGTTTGTTGTACTCATTTTACTTTGACTAGGATTTTTCTCACTGGATTTTTCCTGTCAAGGTTTTAAGGAGGCAACATAAGCATGCTTAACATTATATTAACAATCTAGGTAAAGTTGTACTCTTTTTCCTTCACTATGATTTTTTCCCACTGGGTTTTTCCGAGCAAGGTTTTAACGAGACAACTAATGTTGATATGTGGGCATCCAAGGGGGTGTTGTAAAAGTAGTGGGGTGAATGCCCCACGCTTTTGGCAAAAGGTGAGAAGACTGTAGAATAGTGATCATGTTGTTGTTGTATGAAGTTTTCAAAGAACAAGCATTCATCTTTGTAAGTTTTCACAAGAATGGCTATATTTAAAGAGCACTTCGTGTGTGATCACAACACACAACAAATGAAAGAAAAGAATTGAAAGCAACAATATCAGTATCCTTCCCTTTCTCTTTTTATCTACAATCCTTTTGTGTTATAGTTACAAAACTAAACAGTGTGATATTTTGCACTCGTTCTTGTTCCTAGCAAAGATTATCTTTCTAACTTTTGCCTATTTATAACAGATGTAATTATATTTATATTTTTCATTTCCATTTTTGAGACATGTATAATTATATATACTACAACGAAAAAGATGTAAATTTGATCTATTTAAATTTCTCTTATTGGTTGACATGGTTCACCTTCAAAAAATGTAAATATATTTTCATTTGCATTTTAGGCCAAGATGGTTATTTACACCCGGTCTAGTCGATTCTTTTTTGGCCAACAAAAATGTCAATTCCTAGACATTTTGCATCTCTCATTGAAAATGTTTTTATTAACTCAAGACTGCCAAAATAGTGCTAAACCTGTTGGACCTAAATTGTTCTTACTGCAAGGAGTTCACTGTCACATGCAATATATATATATATATATATATATATGGAGGGAGGATTCTCTTCCCTTCTCTCTTCTCTTATTTAAACGGTTACAATTAAGTCATGTCAGTATTTTATATTGATTTTTTAATTGAGAGATAAGGATAAAAAGGAAAGTGTGAGAGGAGATGAGAGAAGATGATGAGAATAGGAAGAGAAAGAATCTTACTCCAAACCCTTTATACAAAGGGATCCCTCTTGTTAAAGGATTCCTATATATATATATATATGTGTGTGTGTGTGTGTGTGTGTGTGTGTGTGTGTGTGTGTGTGTGTGTATGTGTGTGTACAAAAAATGGAGATCCCTCTTGTTAAAAGATTCCTATATGTGTGTGTGTGTGTGTGTGTGTGTGTGGATTGGGACTCAAAAAGCTTGTCTTCTAAGATAGGTTTTGGCGGAAAAGGATCCTCGCCGAATCCTTTTCCTAGGGATCTTGTGATCTCAACTGTTCATTGTATATCGTGCGGTCAGTTTTTATTAGGTACTATTCATATTTGTGTGTGTGTGTGGATTGGGAATCAAAAAGCTTGTCTTCTAAGATAGGTTTTGGCATCAAATTCTAATAGCGCATGCAGCCAAGGATAGACAAACTCATTGCTAACAACCTTTTCCTACTTCATGTGAAAACTTAGAGCATCTTCAAAAAAAAAAAAAAAAATGTCAAAAAGTTCATCCACATCAGTAATTACAGTACAAAAAGACAACACAAGCGTTTTCCAACCAAAATTTCAATTCTTATGTGGTATGACATGAATTGACAGCAAGTAAGGGTTCTTGTCAAATTTGACAGCAGCTTCAAATAATTTTCAATTAATTGTTAAATGTTTTTTGTTAATTTTGTATTGGTTTAAACATTTATTATAAATGGCTGTAAATTGATTGTGCTTTTTATTGGTTTAAAGCATTCATTATAATTTAAAATTTATGTTTAAAATTTGACATATTGAGTGAAGTTAAAAACTTTAAAAGACTTCAAAGTGCCACATAAGTTGTCAAATTTAAAATTTATGTTTAAAAAGGAGATGGTTTTAGGCAACACAATTATGATGATTCTGCAAGCCATATACATTTTACAAGTGGCAAAATCTAAATGTAACAACAATTCAGGAGTAGGAAGGTTCCACCTTCCATTGAAATCCAAATTTTCTTTTATCCATTTGAATGGGATATCCAACCATGAATGAGTGCTTTATAAGTGATTCAATTTGTCAAGATTTGTTAGGCTACAATACCAAGTAATTAGCATTATCACCATCTGACGGTTATATATAATGTGCTGACATTTATTGAGCATATTCAATCATTAGTTGATGATGATAATATTAAGTACTTGTAAGTACTGTAGTCAATTTCCAAAATTACATATTCAACTTGTAAAGATGTGTATCTCACATTTATATATGTCATTTAGTACTACGGTCTGATAGTATTCCTCTTCACTGGAAAGTGAGAGGTTTTAGATTCGAATTTTGTGGATGACGAATTCGATATCAAACTAGGCTGCCAATTATGTGGCTTAGCCGTACTCTCTCTCCTCCTAATGTAAAAATATCAATGTACTAAAAAAAAAAAAAAAAAAAAAAACAGAATACAAATACATTACTATTATAGAACTATAACTACAAAATTATATAGAAAAAAGCCAATGTTCGAAATCCAGAAGCTACGAATACCAAACAGATTACAAAGATAAAGACTTCTACCTTGCACACAGGTTTTGAAAAGCAGCTTCTTGTTTTCCTGTTAAGTAGTTCTAGCTGTGCCTTACATAAGAGCCAAAAATGGCAGTGTTTGGTACTGCTTTTTTTCCATTAAAAGTTTTTAAATTTAAAGTTAGGTAATAAAAAAGTATTCAGTAAAATTAAAATACCTGATTATTTTAAAATCAATGGTGTCCAAACAATAACTTTTAAAAAATAACTTGTAGGGTACTTTTATTAGATACTTTCTTAAAAAATGGAGTTGTCATTGCCACCATCATTGTTACCTATCCACCCCAACCACCACACCCCACTATTAGCACCACCACACTATACACATCATTGTTGTTGCCATCACCACCAACACCCCCATCGACATCATCATCACCAACACCCCTATCAACATCATCACCACCATTGTTGCCATTGCCATTGCCAATGACGCCACCACCACCACCACCACAACAATCACCACCATCGCTTCCTTTACACCCTAACTACCGCATCCTACTGATGACACCACCATTACCTCCGCCATTATTTCTGCCAGAATCACCACCACTGTCACTGTTGTCGTTGCCAAAACTTGCAATACCATGTCTATTTTGCCATTATACATAAATACATCACTTACAACAAAATTTATCAGATGTTTTTACACTGCTTTTTCATACTCACAATACTTTTAAAAATACAGTTATCAAACGCTCTAAAAAAGCAAGTCATGGGGAAAGAAAAAGACCGCCTTTGAAAAAAAAGAACTCGCTTAAATTGCTAGGCCTTCAAAACACAGGTGATTCTGTTTATTTTACAGATTATTATTCTTAAAGCACATCAAAGCAGTTTAATAAAAATGCACATCAACCTCAAACTGGCCTTTACTTCTACTTGATCCGAACTCACAACAACCTCCTAGGCAATTAGAAAAATTTAGTTGCTAAAGATGGCGTAGCGAAAATTCATAATCCATCATGACATAATTGTATTAGCGCAGACCTTGTGCTTCAAGAATTTGCAGCCCAGCTGGGAGCTCCGGTATAGACAGTAGCTTCTTGCATTGGTTAAACGAAGGACAGACAACTGAGAAGATTGTCTGATGCTTGCAGGTATGCTCCGGATCATGGTCCCACTTAGGTCTAACTCTCGTAACGAGGTTAAGCAAACAAGGTGATCAGGGATTTCTAATATACCACAGTAACTGAGGTTTAGTTCTTCCAAAGAGCGCAAACCTACCCGGAACTGAGGCAACTTTTTAAGCTTTAAACACCCACCAAACGTGAGAGTTTGAAGTGAGTTTAGGTTGTAGATGCTATTCGGGACAGACTTCAGTTTTTTGCACCGGTAGAGCTATAATGTCTGAAGCCCAATCAGATTTTCAACCGACGAGGGTAGCTTTTTAACCGCGGTTTCTGACAAGCTAAGAAAGTTTAAGTGCTTCATAGGCGCCAATATTTCTGGGAAGCATTGAAATTTTAGGCAACCAGCGAGGTTAAGTCTCTCAAGAGAATTTAACTTGCAAATGCTCGTTGGGAGACTCGCAAGACATTTGCAACTTTCCAGTTCAATTTTCTTGAGATGAGAGAGATGCTCGATTGATGAGGGCAATACTTTTATTGCTGTCTCAGTCAACTGTAACTCTGTTATGTTCCGGGGAAGCTCCGAAAACTTGCCAAGAGATGAGCAGCCCGAAAAAGACAAATTGCGTAACTTCAACTCACAACCGCTGCTTGGAAGACTCTTAAGGTCCTTACACCATTGAATATTCAAGGTAGAAATGTTTGCACTAGACCAAACTGATGAAGGCAATTCCTCTATCGCAGTCTTTCTTAAATCTATGTATTCAATATTTCCTGGCATCTCCGGAAGATTTCTGAGAAGTGAGCAGTATCCCAGGTTAAGAACAGTAAGCTTGCCCAGTTGCCGAAAATACGAAGGAATTTCAACCAAACTTGTACATCCCATAAGATTTATATGCTTGATTTTCGGACATTGAGAGAGATCTGGAACTTCAGTCAGATGTATGGAGTGACTAAGATCCATCAAATTTAAGTTTTCAAGCTTCTGTAACAAAATAAAGAGAAACTGGCAAGCATTAACAAGTTAGCCTGATTAACTTTGCCACACCACATTTTCTACACAAACGCGTGCGCACACACACACATATACATACTAATATGTATATATATACCTGGCCTTTATTCCAAAGTTGTTCAACACTGCTGTAGGGCATTCGAAGCTCAACAAGATTGTCTGGAGAAAATTCTGATGGCAAAGATTTCAGTTGGTATCCCATCCAGCAAAGATACCTAAGAGCATTGGGAAGAGAAACGTCTAACTTCTTGTCAAAGCCATAGCTATCAACATTGAGCAATCTTAGATTAAACATCTTTCTGAAGTCTGCGTGATCCAACGGTCCAATCTTAGAAATGTTAAAGGATATGCATTGAACGGCTGCAGTTCCCTGACAATCAAGAGCAAAAGTATAAATGTGGATACAATATTGATATACTGACACACAACAAATTCAATTAGATGTTATCATTTCATAGGAAGTTCACGATTTTTCTTGTATAAGAAAGTGAATAATTATAGTTCTTACCGTATTATTTTTCAGTACATGATAGACATCATCCGCACTGAACAATCTACTTCGTTTTCCGGGCTCTTCAGTACATTCTTCGCGAACAATTTCCCTGCCCATTTCTTGGACCAGAGCATGCATTTCTATTAACTTGCTTTCGGAAATTGATATGAGGGACTTATCACTGAGGGCCCTAATTCCTGCTGCACGAAAACCACAAGCATTGGACATTCTTTTTACAAGATGCATAGTCTCGACTTTATAAAAACACGCTATATCAAGAAATATCTCCTTCTCGTTTTTTAATCCATCGTAACTTATTTTCAACACTTTTTGAATGTTTTTCCTTAGAAATTCTTTCATTGTGATTGATTCATCTAAACAATCTTCTTTGCTCTCGCAGCAAAGGAATGAGGAACCCAAAATTTTAAGAGCTAATGGAATGCCACCAGCATAATCCACCACCTTTTCCGCCAATTCTGTATAATCTGTTATACGAGTGTTATATTTGAAGGCATTCAAATGAAGGAGCTGAAGAGCTTCATCACGTTGTAATGCCTGAACCCCGTATATCTTATCTTCTTCAACAATTTCCTTAAGTAGGCTCCTGTCTCTAGTTGTTACAATGATTCTACTTCCGGGGCCATACCGAGCATGATCTCTGCCTCCGGCTAGAAGTTCGATTTGGCTTGAGTCATTCACATCATCAAGAACAATGAGGACCTTCATACGACTGAGCCTCTCACGAACAAAGGTTGATCCAATAGATGGAGTGTCAATATCTAGATTCTTATCATCTAGTAACTTACGGAGAAGTTTATTTCGCAATTGAATTAGTCCATCTTTTTCCTCTGATTTCACCCTAACATTTGCAAGAAAACAGCAAGCTTCGAATTTAGAAAAGAGTCGATGAAATATAGCATCAGCAAGGGTGGTCTTGCCAATACCACCCATGCCCCAAATACCTACACTGCAGACATCTAGTGAATCAATGGATAATAATGATTCAATTTCCTCGATGTGGCTTTCAATTCCAACATATCCCTTCAAATCACTTGACTTTTCACGATTTAGTTTGGCCAAAATATCATCGACAACTTGTCTGAACTAAATCAGCCTCCGACCTGGCATATATCATTACGAAGGGGACAACCGATAGTTATTTAGTACGTATATATACCTGAACTGATATTAAAATGAATCAATGGTCACAAGTAGTTTACGTATGTAGAAATTAATAAAAGCTTTAGAGTTAGTTAATTACCCGGCTTTGTTTGAATTATCAAACCCAGATATTTTTGCTGCTTCCCTCAAAGCATCTCTCCACCTGTGCACCTTGTCCATACTGTCCTTGAAACGTTCTTCAAGTTGAGCAAATGCATCTGCATAAGTCCCCTGCTGCTTTCTTATATGTGATGGATCGATATCGTAAAAAATGGGTATAACAAACTGCCGATCTCTTTCCTTGCATCGCAAGATATGCACAAGTTCATCAAGACACCAAGTGGAAGAAGCATAATTTTTTGAGAAAATGATTACGGAAAGCTTTGATTTCTCAATTGCCTCGACAAGGGCAGGCGCAATTTTATCTCCTCTCTCTAGTTTGTAATCTATGTAAGTTTCGATTTTCTTACCACGCAAAGCTGCATAAAGATGGCTTGTAAAAGTATTGCGGGTATCTTCGCCTCTGAAACTCAGAAACACATCATGTTTTTCTTGAGGGAATATGGTAGCAGAAGAAGAAGCCATATTCATTGCCTGCAAAACCACACATCAAAAGACATCCGTGTTTTGATTAAGAGATAAACAGTAAAAAGGATTAGGAGATGAAATATTAACAAGGATAAAGTTGTACCTCAGGAATCAGGATCAAATGAAGAAAGATATATCAGATAGTTTGAAAGAAGTTGCAGAAAACACGCTTTTTAGGAAGAAACACAAGATTGAGCAGTCTGCAGAGACTGATCTATGTATGTGGATGAGGTTTAGCACCTCTTAGTCAAGACGACTATACGCAAGTCCAAGTCAACAAGTGTAAAGAAAGTAGGAGACGTAATTGCTTTGACTATTGTAGACATAGAAATTTCGGTGAAATAAATGTTAACCAATAATTAAAATTTCAACGCTCACATGTCACATAAATTTTACACGTAGCATGTGACTCAACGAACAATCGAAATAAATCAGAAAAATCATCAAATAGGACATGTGTCAACACCTGGCAGAAATGATTTATTTCATCTGAATATTATATTCAAAATTGGGCCTTGAAAATTTTCATTTATTTCACTTGACCAATTCACATCACACCAAAACCTTGAAGCTTTAAAACTCTAAAGCTCTCAAGCAAATCCCGAAGGATTAAAAAAGCTTTTTTCGTTCTTCGTCAAATCCTCCTTCAAGATCAAGTTCCGACGGCCCTTGACGAAACTTCCCTCAACCTTCAAGATCAAGCCCCCAACGGCCCTTGAAGAAAGTGTTCATCGTTTATCATCCGTTCATCCTAAGATCAAGCTCCAACGGCCCTTTGGATCAATGACATTAACAAATCCACATACCCGTTCTTCAAGATCAAGCCCAAAAGCCCTTGAAGACCCGTTCATCAACTGTTCATCAAGATCAAGCCCCAAAGGCCCTTGAAGATCTGTTCATCCTAAGATCAAGCCCCGACGGCCCCTTGGATCAACAACATCAACAAATCCACATAACTGTTCATCCTTAGACCAAGCCCCAACGGCCCTTTGAATCAACAGCCCATCCACATATCTACATTTCCGAAGATAGAATCAGAGGATCAAATTGTAAAAGATTGTAACCCTAAAATTAATACAAAATATATTTTGTACACATGTTCTTATTTCAGGAATTTTCGTGTTTACAAATTTGGCACGCCCAGTAAGACCATCTCTACCTCTCATCTCAATCTTCAAATCCGCAAGAAAACACAAATAGCATCAAGGAAAGTTCAAGCTGTTCCCACAACCAACGCGAAGAACAAGAACATCCCCGCCGCAAGTGTTGTCACTTTGGGCATCATAACTCAAAGCAAGGCAAGAGCTCTTTCTGCCACCTCTTCCACCTCTGCATCAACTTTGCCAAAGGAACAAGAACACCCGAGGCACGAGCCTGTGATCACCCTGGCCTCGCTAAGGGCGCCAAGGGAGGAAAGCCCAAGGAAGTACTCCAAGTCCATGCCTTCTAATGCCGACTTAAGCGGCAGCTCAGCCATGCAAGTCATAACCACCAGAGCAACTTCAATCGATGAGCAGCTGGCTTGAATGAATGAAGTGATCGCAAGGCTAACACGGACGGTGGAAGAAAAAGACTTGTAAATCGCTGCACTCGTCAACCGACTGGAAAGGATGACGAGAAACCCAACCTAAAGGTTAATCCACTAAAAAGAGAAGCCAATGAAGAAGAGAAGCCTCCGGTGGAGAAAGTCAAAGAAGAGCAGGACCCAGACCAAGTGACAAGTGACAACACTCATAGAATCTCTTTCTATCCATCAGTTGTAGAAGATGATCACCGACACCATCAAGGCACAATACGAAGGGAGCCTACACACCTCCATGTTGTACTCGAAACCCTACTCCAAGAAGATTGACGCCTTGAAGATGTCGAGGGGTTATCAACCGCCAAAGTTCATGCAATTTGACGGAAAAGGAAAGCTAAAGCAACATGTCGCACATTTCATTGAAACTTGCAACAATGTTGGGACGGAGGGAGACTACCTTGTCAAACAGTTTGTGCGCTCGCTGAAAAGTAATGTCTTTGACTGGTACACTGACCTCGACCCCGAGTCTATGAACAGTTGGGATCAGCTAGAAAGGGAATTTATCAACTGATTCTACAGTACTCGCCATACTGTAAGCATGCTGGAGCTAATCAGTGCAAAACAGTGGAAGGATGAACCTGTCGTCGACTACATCAATAGATGGCGTTCATTAAGTTTGGATTGCAAAGATCGGCTTTCTGAAACCTTCGCCATTGAGATGTGCGTTCAAGGCATGCACTGGGGGTTACATTACATCCTCCAAGGCATAAAACCAAGAACATTTGAGGAGATGGCAACTCATTCCCACGACATGGAGCTGAGTATCGCCAATCACGGGAAGAATGAGCCGATCACCGAGTTTAAGAAGGATAAGGTGTTCGCCCAAATGTGGACAAGACTGGGAAGAAGCCCGCTAAGGAAGTTTTTACCGTCAACACTACCCCTATCAAGACATTATCTGCGTCCATTAAGATCTCCTCCAAGAACAAAGCAAAGGAGATAAAGAAATGTGAGCCTTCTCGCACCCAAGATAGGTACAAAAGCACCTTGAGGGAACTAGAGCAGAAAACATACCCTTTTCCTAACTCTGACATGGCTGCAATGTTGGACGACCTGCTGGAAAAGAAGGTGATCGAGCTACCCGAATGCAAGCGTCTTGAAGAGATGAATTGCGTAAACGATTCTAGGTACTACAAGTACCATCGTATTGTGAGTCATCCTGTTAGTAAGTGCTTCGTCCTCAAAGAGCTCATCATAAAGCTAGCACAACAAGGGAAAATTGAGCTCGACCTTGAAGACACGGTCGCAACGCATACTACTACGATTTTGCTTGGATCGTTCGATCCCATGCCTCTCCAAGTGACATCTGACCATTCCCATCAATGCTCAAGCTGCATGGCACCTTCTACACGACCATCACTAGGGGCAAGCGACTAAGATGCACATGCCGATGATGAAGAATGATGGACATTGGTGACCTACAAAAAAATAAGGAAGCCAAGACTGCAAGCCACAAGGCTAAAGGGGAAGCAATGGAGAAAGCACCGTCGCCGCAACAATAGAAAGCCTAAAAGAAATATAAAAGCTGCTAAACCAACATATGTTGGGGAATCTATGGAGCAAGAGTCACGCATTCTTATCTCCTTGCACGAGTACTTCTCGAATGACTTCTTCTAACAATGCACTACCGCTGCATGTCACATGGTCAAAGTAGAAATGGAAGAACCCTTTAAAGGCAAAGCCACCGCCATCGAGGAAGTGCTACAATTGCCAAAGAAGATGCGAAGAGCACTAGCAGCGGTTTTGGTAAGTCCTGACGACCATGAAGTACAAGAAAGCAACAACGAAGGCTTGAAGCTTCAACCACATGAATGTGCCACATGTTGTGTCGCCCATGACGTAATCAACTTCACTGATGAAGACTTACTGCTGGGATCAAAGCCTCACAACCGTCCTCTCTTCGTCTCCGGGTACGTAAGGGAGCACAAAGTCAACTGCATGCTTGTAGATGGTGGGTCAGCCATAAACATCATGCCAAAGTCAATAATGATCACAATCGGCATCAAGGTGGATGAACTGTCCCTAAGCTGTCTGCTGATCCAGGGTTTAACCAAGGAGGACAAAGGACGATGAGCATGATCCAAGTAGAAATGACCATTGGTGAACTCAAATCAAGCACGATATTCCACGTGATTAATGCAAGAACTTCCTACAGCTTGCTCCTCCACCAATGCTTAAAATTCTACCAGGAAGGAGTAAAGGTGATCCAAGGTGATACCAAGTCATTCATCGAAGCCGAATCACACTTTGCAGATGCCAAGTACTACATGGATGAAGATATGGTGCTCGAAGCTCTTCCGGAAGAGATCAAATCCACGGGCAAAGCAGCACCTAAAAAACAGGGGTGGCAAGCCATGCCCAAGAAGCAAGAAGGGCAAGCCGTGCCATCTTCAAGCAAAAACGATGATGAGCCCGCTAAACCTGCAACAACCAAAGGGAGTAGGACGCCTTCAAAAGGACCGAACACACCCATATTCTGATACATCCCAATATCAAGAAGAAAGAATGGTCAATCCCCATTCGAAACTAGAGCAAGCAAAGCCGAGACACAGCAGCACAAGGGTGATGTAAAATTGCTCAAAACAAATGCAGTTTTGCCTCTGACACAGCTAAGCGATGCTAAGGTTGCAAGACTACCACAAAGCTTCATAAAAGCTCTGCCAAATGGGGTAAAATCAAGCTTTCTCCCAACCACGAGGACCTAAGAAGGTTTTGATCCAAACGCCTACAAACTTATATCGAAGACTGGGTACAGCTTCACTTCCTCTTCAAATCCTGGAAAGAAGGTTACAAACATCGTTAATGACAAAGAACGTGACCTCACCGAGACTCAAAAGAAGTTGAAAGAGTATGGTTATGGAGTTGACAACAACAAAGCTGGGCTTGGCTTCACACCGAATGCACTCGTGAAGATTTCAAGCAAAGCAAAGAACGCTAACGCTCAACACATTAGCGTGACCATTGAACAAGATCAAGAGAAGCCTAAACCTCACCATCAGACGTCAGTCTTCGATAGGATGAATCATTCAAGACCCAGAATTTTGGCACTTAATCGCATTGGTGGTCAAGACCGAACCTCCGTCTTCAAGAGGCTTAATACACCAACATCCCAAAACTCTGTTTTTGAAAGGTTGTCAAAGCCTAAGAAACAAAGCAACACGGCTAGCTCTCCTAAACGACGGTCGGTTTTGGAAAGACTTGAAGAAACCAATAAGCTTTCCGGAAAGAGAAAGACAATGCCAAAAGAAGAAAAGCTCGATGTTTGGCAGAAAAATATGACGTTCGAAGCTCTATTCCTTTAAGGATGAAGCGCCAAGCAATCTTGGAGGTTAACATAAATGGACCACTGAAAGTAAAAAGGCGCACCATCATCCATACTCTACAATCTTCATGCCAACAAGCTCCAGAGGACAGCACTGAAGAGGAGGTTCAAGATGTTTTCCACATCACAATCCAAGAAGGTAAAGAAGACGAAGTTGCCGAGGAAGATGCCACTGCTGCACCACCACAGCTCGAAGATGGGGGGGCAAGCCACGATTGATGATCTCAAAGAACTCAACTTAGGCATAAGCGAAGAGCCCAAACCTATCTTCGTAAGTGCGCTGCTAAGTGCAGACGAGATAGAGGAGTACTACCAACTGCTATTAGAGTACAAA